TGGTGGATGGTTAACTACTAATGAACAGTCGCAGTTAGAAACTGTGGAGGTCTATGATCCAGCGACGGACACATGGGCAAAAGCCCAAAGTATGAACCATGCGCGTTGTTCTACAGCAATGAGTGTTGTGAACGGAGAAATCTACGCTATAGGTGGGATAGGTTGGCCCCCGAATCGGGACCAGTCAGGTCGGTATCTTTCAGATCCGTATCTTTCCAGTGTTGAAGTGTTCAATCCAAAGACGAACCGATGGCAGGAAAGAACAGAGATGTCTGTTCCGAAAGCGGCTCACTCGACAAGCATAATTGATGGCAAAATCTATGTCATGGGTGGGTACTTTGTGAAAGATAGAAAATTAAAGACCCTCTCAGCGATTGAGGTCTACGATCCCGCAACCGATCGTTGGACCCAAGAGTCGGACATGCTCATTGGAAAGTTCGGACATGCGACTGAGATAATAGATGGGCAAATTTATATTTTGGGCGGAAGTGGTGGCGTTGGTAAAGGTCTGCTTACGAGTGTCGAAGTCTACGACCTAAGAGAAGTTTCCCGGCGTATCAATTCAATAGAAAAGTTGTGAAAACGGTGCGAACTAATGAAAAAAGACAGTAATTGAATGTCCGCAGGCGAGGTTTCCGAATTCCCTCCTGTCCCGCTGATAAGGGGAATTGAGGGGGTTGGGGTTTCCCACTGACGGCTGACCGCTGATTGTCCTCCTCTGTAGAAGCGAGTGTTTTTGCTTGGGTGTTTCCCCATGCTCGCGATCTTATACACATACTGCCCCTCTGGGGCTATTTTTTTTGGGAGACATCTTTTCTACACACCTATCGCCCCGCTGGGGAAACCAAAAACCTCGTGACACAAAGAGACGCAAGTCCGCGTAATCTGTGTAATCCGCGACACTCCGCGATTCAGACGAAAATACACACATGCTGAAAAAATACCTCGCCTTTTCTGTTCCGACCTCCCGATCCCGACCCTTGAAGTTTCTTGTCGGAGGGGTTTGTAACCCCAACATCTTTCATCATCCGATGCACCTGTGATTCAGACAAACATTGCCGGAGTTCTTATTTTCCACCGACTGCTGACCGCCCTCTCCTCTATAGGAGCGATCTCCCGATCGCGACCCTCTCTTTCCCCTTCCCATTAATTAGCATGTGTCAGATACAATTGACCGCCTTGTAGGAGGGATCTCCGAATCCCGACTCTTATAGTAAAATTAGTAAAATCCGAACATAAGTGGACAGGTGTCCAATGAAAAAGGGCCCCACCTCCGCTGACGAGGATTGTAGCCTCGCCCCGTAATGTTCAAGTAATTATAGATTTTACTATAACTGATAATTCATCAGCAATTTCACAACCGCATTGGATTAAAATTCAAATTTTTTCATTTTTTTTCAAATTAGACACAATTTTCGGAAAAAAATTGTGTCTTTAATTATAAAAAGGTGCGATACACAAGAACACTTAAAACAATTGTAATCCTGTGATGCTCGCACCGAGAGGCATTACTGACACGGACAATGCCTCTATACAGGCTTTGAAAAGGTTTGAAGTCGAAACGGACATGTAATGCATACCGGAAGTCTAACTTACGGACTGGACTGTCAAGCATTAAATGGAGGTAAACCGTGAAAATACGTTGGACGTTAAGTATATTGCTGGCGAGGTTTTGCGGCGTACTCGCCCCGACGACTTCTGCGCAGTCTCCTATAGAGGCTTGCGGGACAATGCGAGGCAATACGCGCACTCGGCGTTGATTCATGCGATCTGCATTCCGAACCTCGCCAACTGTCCTGTGTACACTTAATTATGGATTTTACCATAGATGAAAAAGGAGATAAAAATGATACACCGACAAATCCTCACATCTCTCTTTTTGCTCACATTATAGGTGGCACTGATCCGGCGTGGTCACCCGATGGGACGGGAATCGCTTGCAGTATAGATGAACGCCTTATATTCGTCAATCTCCGCACACGCGCGCGAAAACAACTCCTACCTCAGAAAGCAATACAATGGCAACGTCTCCCATCTTGGTCGGCAACAGGTAATAAACTCGCCTTTTCTGGGAACAATCATCCGGTCGCCTTGGATAGGCAGCAGCGCAACGAATGGATGGATAAAAATACAATCTTCATTGTCAACAGCGACGGCACCCGTCTCCAACAACTTGTTGCTGAAGCCGGTCCCTATGCATGGTCTCCTGAGTTATCACCGGATGGACAAGAAGTCCTTTATACACAGGCAATTCAGGGGGCACACCAGATCTTAAAAATCGACGTGCACAGCGGTATTCGGACCCAATTGACGGATAATATATGGAGTTTTGGCGGGGATTGGTTCGATCCTACGCATGCCTTACCGGTATCACCACAACCGCACTTGCTAACAACGACATGGGGAAAAGTGAAAAAATGAGAATAATGGAAATGTGGGTACAACCAAATCTGTTCGCGCATCATGGAGGGTTGTAATGGTGGAAAACGATGTTCAACTGATTCGCAGAATTTTGTCAGGAGACGATGGAGCATTCAGCACTTTGGTCCAAAAGCATCAAAAGGGGGTTCACGCGCTCGTGTGGCGGAAGGTTAGCGATTTCCACTATGCGGAAGAGATTACGCAAGATACCTTCCTTCAAGCATACAAAAAACTCTCGACACTCAAAAACCCTAACCAATTTGCTGGGTGGCTCTATGTCATCGCAAATCGACTTTGCCTTAATTGGATTGAAAGACACAAACCTGCGATGCAATCGCTGGAGGATACGCCTGTGGAAGAAATAGAGGAATCCTCTTATATCCATTATACCTCGGAACAGCGCGAAGCCGAAGGCACCGAGCATCGTTATGAAATCGCCGAAAAACTTCTGTCCAAACTGCCGGAGAGTGAACGCACGGTCGTTACGCTCCACTATCTCGGCGAAATGACAGCGAAGGAGATAAGCGAAATTCTTAGGTGTTTCGGTAAACACGATTACAAACCGACTATGGCGGGCGCGAAAGCGTTTGCGGCAGGACCAAGAACGCTTCGTTCAGGAAGTGCTCGGCGGCGTGCAGTTCCCCGCCAACCTATCCGAGAACATCATGCGACAAGTCGTTGACCTGCAACCGACACCGCCTCCAATAGGGAAACCGCTGTTCCCGTGGGGTGCCTTTGGTATCGCGACCCTTCTGGTTGCCTTGCTGTTAGGGCGCGACCGACCAATACCTCGCCCGATTTCAGAGACCGTATAGTTTCGAAGCGGTATCCCAACCCACGGTTGAACTTATTGACACCTTTATCGTTCTCGATGTCGATTCAAAACCCGATGTGCGGAACCAGATCGGACGAGCGACTTCCACCGGTAAAAACAGTGGTGCAGGACTACAGGCTTCTGAGACACCTCTGGTATCCGATGCGCAAGGGAATTCTCTCAGGCTTTCTACATTGCAGTGGACGCAGAAAGCAGACATGCCAACAGCCCGGTCTTGCTTTTCTACCAGTATTGTGGATGGCAAGATATTCGCAATAGGGGGCCAAGCACCAGCCGAACCTGACGAATTTGGGGAAAGGGCTATTGCGACAGTAGAAATGTACGACCCGGAAACGGATACGTGGGAACGAAGGGCAGATATGCCGACAATTCGGTCTGGCGTATCTGTCTCAGTTGTGGATAGCAAAATCTACGCTATCGGTGGTGAAGAAATAAAGAAAATTGTGCGGCATAAGGGTTGGATAAACAAGGTTAAACAACTCTCAACCGTGGAGATGTATGATCCGGTTACGGACACATGGACCCAGAAAGCGGATATGCCCACACCAAGGAAGACCAGTACCTGCGTTGTGGATGGAAAAATCTATGCCATTGGTGGGTCATCAATTACTAATAAACAGTGGCGATTGGAAACTGTGGAGGTATATGATCCAGCAACGGACACATGGGCAAAGGTGAGAGATATGAACCATGTGCGTTATGGTGCAGCACTCAGTGTTGTGAATGGAGAGATCTATGCTATGGGTGGGACGGGGTGGGCCCGGATTCAGGGCCAGCCAGATCCGTATCTTTCCAGTGTTGAAGTGTTCAATCCAAAAACGAATCAATGGCAGGAAAGAACAGAGATGCCTGCTCCGAAAGCGTGGCACACGGCAAGCGTAATTGATGGGAAAATCTATCTCATAGGGGGTTACTTTCGGGAAGGTAAGGAATATAAGAACCTTTCAAGGGTTGAAATCTACGATCCCGCAACCGACCATTGGATCCAAGCATCGGACATGCCGATTGGGAGATCGGGACATGCGACTGAGGTCATAGATGGGCAAATCTATATTTTCGGGGGCGACAGTATCGATGTTAAAGGTCCGCTTACGAGTGTCGAAGTTTACAACCCATAGTTGTCAATTTAGGGATTCTCCGCTGTGTGTTGAAGTCGTTTATAGGATTTGTTGTTGATACACACTAAAATGAGTTGTGGGTCTGTTTCAGGACGCCGAACCGGATCAGTTCCGTCAAATCGCAGCCCACACATTCCCTCGATTTCGCGTTGAAAATCGAAAATGGATATTATAAGGAGTGATGTTATGAAAAGCGCAATTGTTAATCGAAAAAATTTGGTGGTGATTTTAGGTGTTGTGTTGATAGGCATTGGCGCGCAGGGCATTAACTATGGTCAGACTGCTGACGAGTACACTCCAGCAGTAACCATCGAACTGCTCAAGGACGGAATTAAAATAGGCTTTGGGACACACGGAAGATTTTCCGTTTTTAACGTAACAAACCGCAGTACTGCTTCTACCGATTCAGTTCGCAACTCCAAATGGCAGAGGCGGGATGATGCAACGAGCCCCTGGGTTGATGTTCCTGATTCAGAAAAAACTACCGGATTATACGGCTATGTGGTAACGCTCCCGGTGAATACAGATGGGTTGGCGAGGTTAACCACAATGGCGTATGGGGAAAATACGCCAGCGGGAATATTCTGCAGCTCACGCCAGACGGAACAGTGACGAGCAGTCTCGCAGAAGTAGAAGGTGTTCCGAGCGACCCACACAAGCTAACTTTTGAGGGGCATAGGGACAGTGTCCTTGCCGTAGCGTTCTCTCCTGATGGGCGCACCTTAGCGAGTGGGAGTCGGGACAGGACGATTCGGTTGTGGGATACTAACACCGGCGAACACAAATTGACACTTGAAGGGCATACAGATGGTGTCACTTGCCTATCGTTCTCTCCTGATGGTAGCACGTTAGCGAGTGGGAGTTGGGACGATACGATTCGGTTGTGGGACGCAAAAACAGGGCAACATCTGCAGACCCTTGAGGAGCATACGGATGGTGTCCGTTCTGTAGTGTTCTCTCCCGATGGGAGCACTTTAGCAAGCGGGGGGTATGACAATACGCTTCGGTTATGGGATACTGAAACCGGACAACACAAGCCGGTACTTGAAGGGCATACGGATTATATCCGTTCCGTAGTATTCTCTCCCGATGGGAGCACGTTAGCGAGTGGGAGTTATGATAGGACGCTTCGGTTGTGGGACACTGAAACCGGACAACACAAACTGACGCTTGAGGGACATACGGATGGGGTCCTTTCCGTAGCGTTTTCTCCCGATGGTAGCACGTTAGCGAGTGGGAGTTATGACAGGACGCTTCGGTTATGGGACGCTGAAACCGGACAACACAAACTGACGCTTGAGGGACCTATGGATGATGTCAATTCCGTAGCGTTTTCTCCCGATGGGAGCACGTTAGTGAGTGGGGGTTATGTCGATACGATTCGGTTTTATGACGATACGCTTCGGTTGTGGGACGCAAAAACAGGGCAACACCTGCAGACGCTTAGAGGACACAGGCATGCTGTCGCTTCCGTGGCCTTCTCCGGGGATGGTAGCATGCTGGCGAGTGGGAGTTATGACGATACGGTTCAGGTGTGGGAATTGGCACCCGCCACGCCCACTGTCGAACTATCTCAACCCGCCACGCCCGCCGCCGAACCTCCCCAACTCGAAGGCGATCTCAACGCCGACGGTGTCGTCAATATCCAAGATCTCGTCCTCGTTGCGTCGCAGTTCGGGCAAGCTGGACAGAATGCAGCGGACATCAATGCAGATGGTGTGGTCAACATTCAAGACCTGGTCTTGGTGGCAGGGGCGTTCAATGCTGCTGCGTCGGCACCCGCGGCACATCCACAAGTCGTCGAGACGCTCACCGTCGGAGAGGTCCAGGGGTGGTTGCGCGGCGCGGAGCAACTTGAATATAAAGATGCAACGATGGCGAGAGGGATTGAGGTGCTTAAAGACCTCTTGGCACTTCTGACGCCAGCAGAAACCGCCCTGTTGCACAACTACCCGAACCCGTTCAACCCGGAGACGTGGATCCCGTACCAGTTAAAAACACCGGCAGCGGTTCGCATCGCGGTTTACAATTCGCGTGGCGTTCTGGTGCGTGAACTGTCGCTCGGGTATCAGGTAGCGGGTCGGTATACCTCGCGCGCTCGTGCAGCGTATTGGGATGGCCGGAATACAGTCGGCGAACCGGTCGCCAGTGGTCTGTATTTTTACACGCTTACCGCCGGGGATTTCTCAGCGACGCGGCGGATGGTGATTTTGAAGTAAAAGCCCAGAACAAGTTCGGGTGTCCGGCCCTGTAGTAAATTGTGTCTAAATTGACGGCTATGAGTGTCGAAGTTTACGACCCAAGAGAAGTATCCCGGCGCGTCAATTCAATAGAAAAGTTGTGAAAACCGTCCGAACGATGAAAAAAAGACAGTAATTGAATGTCTGCAGGCGAGGTCTCCGAATTCCCTCCTGTCCCCCTGATAAGGGGGATTGAGGGGGTTGGGGTTAGGACGGTTTCCCACTGACAACTGACCGCTGATTGCTAATCGCCACACGGTACGTGCACTTTACAACCACATCAGATTAAAATCCAAATTTCTTTCATTTTTTTCATATTATGCACCCTTTCCGTCCATAAAGTGTGTCTTTAATAATGGGGGGATATGATTAAAACGACATTTAAAATAAAGGAACATATTCGGATGAGCCTTACCAACAAAATGTTAGTGTTAGTCGGGTGCTTAACGTTTGGTTTCCTGTTATCCTCTGCCCAAGGGCTTGCACTGCAGGATGCGAAAATCGAAAGCAACACCGTGTCACTGAACCCGCATCGACGAGCTGCGCAACTCGGAAAAGCCGCTACGGTTATCTTAATTGTTAACGCCGATGATGGTACAATCGGCAACGGAAGTGGTTTCTTCGTTGGACGGGATCTGATTGTCACCAGTGTTCACGTCCTTGCTGGCATTCATGGCAAGTCCTATGCTTGGGAGATGAGATCGGTTAACCAACCAACGCAATATACGATCAAAGGTGTCGTAGCAAGCGATCCAGAGTACGATCTGGTTATCTTAAGGGTCGAAGGTAAAGAAGCGGGGGTTCTCCAACTGGGGGATAGCCATACAGTGAAACTTGGAGAAAAGGTTATCGCCGTGGGGACCCACGGGAGTCCTCACAAGAATGCTCCGGGTAAAATCATAGAGGGAACAATAAGCCGAATTACTGATGGATTCTTCCGCGTGAAATCCACACTTCTTCCAGGGTACAGTGGCGGTCCCGTCCTGAATGGCACTGGAGAAGTCATAGGGATTTGTATAGAGGGTGGCGAAACCAAAAGTTCAGGATACATTATCCCTTCAAATCATCTAAAAGCATTGCGAAAAAACATGTCTGAGCAAGAAAAATCTTTGGAAGAATGGCGAGAAGAACCCATGATACGTGCCTACGCGCTTGCCAATCGAGGCGATGCAGAGAAGGTCCTCGGAAGTGCTAAGGATGCCATTGCGGCTTACGACGCGGCTATACGCCTAACGCCAGATTTTGCGGCATGCTACGCCAAGCGAGGATCCGCGAAATATAATTTAGGAGACTATAAAGGGTCTATCAAAGATCATGATGCCGCCATCAGCTTGGGACTCGATTATGCAGCTGTCTATGTAAATCGCGGCGTTGCAAGAAGGAACTTACGAAACTATAAGGGAGCCATCAAGGACTATGATACCGCGATTCGTCTCGACCCAGAGAATATTGAAGCTTACCTTAACCGCGGAAATGCAAGAGCGGATTTGGGAAATTATGAGATGGCGATTGAAGACTACAATATGGCAATTCACTTAAAACCGAGAGGCATTATGCTTCCGCTCGCATACGTTAAACGAGCCAGCGCGAAATCAGATTCAGCGGACTATACGGGTGCCATCAAAGATTATGATGAAGCAGTTCGCCTGAAACCAAACAGTCCTGGCATCCTTACCGTTGCCTATCTCAATCGTGGACTTGCAAAGTTCCATTTGGATAACGCTGAGAGATGCTATTAGAGATTATGACGAAGTAATCCGTCTAAAACCAAAAAATGCGGTGCTTGCCAGCGCATACGTCCATCGTGCCGATGCAAAGGCTAAATTGGCGGACAATAAGGGAGCCGTCAAAGATTACGACGCGGCTGTTCGCCTTGTTCCAGAGGATATTGGCTTTGTTACCTATGTTTATGGCAGGCGAGCCTCTGTGAAATTGGCGTTAAGCGACAATAAGGGAGCGATTGAAGATTGTGACGCGGCGATTCTGCTTGACCCTGACCTCGCTGAAGTCTACAAAACCCGCGGCGAGGCACGATCGAATCTGGGGAACCATAGCAGGGCTACTAAAGACTATGATGCCGCAGTTTACCTAAAACCCGATTATGCCGAAGCCTACTATAAACGTGGTTGCGCAAAGGTTGAAATAGGTAACGTCTCGGAAGCAAAAGTAGATCTCCGAACCGCGTTGAAATTCGCGAAGTGGGAAAGCGATCAAGTCCTCATCGCAGACATTGAGGAAGCACTTCGCCTCTTGAAATGAATAGGACTTACGCAGTTGGTCTCACAAGTCCCGTTGATAAGGGGGATTTAGGGGGTTAAAAATAAAAAATATCCCACTATGCCCTGAATTTGCGTAAGTCCTGATGAATTATAATAAAACCGAAAAATATATGGACAGCATTATGGTTTGATACCTCCCTACCTGCTGGCGAGGTTTCCGAACCTCGTCGATTACCAAACTTCTGTTGCAGTAAGAATGTGAGCGCGATCATATCCGTTCGCGCATCATGGAGGATCCTGATGGTAGATAACGATGTTCAACTGATCCAAAGAATTTTATCAGGAGACGACGATGCATTTGGTATTTTAATCCAAAAATACCGAAAGGGTGTTCATGCCCTTGTATGGCGGAAGATTGGTGATTTTCACTATGCTGAAGAAATTACGCAAGACGTTTTTCTCCAAGTATACCAAAAACTCTCGACCCTCAAGAACCCCAGTCAATTTGCCGGGTGGCTCTATGTCATTGTAGATCGACTTTGCATCAATTGGCTCCAAAGACACAAACCTGCGGAGCAATCGCTGGAAACAACAAGTATAAGAGAGATAGAGGAATTTTCTTATGCCTGTTATGTATCCGAACAACGCGAAACAGAAGCACTTGAGCGTCGGTATGCAGTCGTCAAGAAACTGCTGGAGAAACTGCCGGAGAGTGAACGCACGGTGGTGACACTTTACTATCTCGGTGAGATGACAACAAAGGAGATAGGCAAATTCCTGGGTGTGTCCGTGAACACGATTAAGAGTCGGCTGCGTCGGGCGCGGAAACGCTTACTGGATGACCAAGAACTCTTCGTTCAAAAGGTTCTCGGCGGTGTACAGTTATCGGAAAATCTAACAAGCCATATCATGCGACAGATCGCCGACATGGAACCGATACCACCTCCGGCTGCAAAACCCCTGCTCCCATGGATTGCTTTCGGCACCGCTACCCTTCTAATCACCTTGCTGTTAGGAGCGAGCCAACCCTACCTCACCCGTTTTCAACAACCCTATAGTTTCGAGGCAGAATCCGAGCCGACCATCGAAATCATTGATGTGCCTTTTACGCTTGATATTGATGCCAAACCGAATGTCCGGAATCAGGTCGGCAGTGTTGTATCCCCGGGTAAAAGCAACAGTACCGGTTTACAGTCTTCTGAAGCGCGTTTGACGACCACTACAGAATCGGATGTACCCGCTAAATTCTCTACAGCGCAGTGGACACAGGCAAGTGGTCCCGAAGGGACTCCCATCTTTGATACCTTTGCTGCGTCTGACGGCACACTCTACATTGACACACAAACCGGTATCTACAGATTGACAGCGGACGCATCTACTTGGACGCGTATCGCCCCGGATATCCCAACCCCTGGGGGTTATATGTCTATGACAGAGTATGACGACACCCTCTATATCGTTTCGGATGATGAAATCTTCACTTCAAGCGACGGTGGCGAGACCTGGAACGCCTTTGGTCCTCGACCAGAGGGAGATTATCATGTTGGGCTGATCGTAACCGATGCACCGCAAATCACAGGTTCACGAACAGGCATTGCAATGTATCTTGCGTTTCGAGATAAAGGCGTTTTCCGATCTACGAATGCTGACATACAATGGGACTCGTTTAACGAAGGGTTGTCTGGCAAACGCATTCGCGCAGTGGCGGAAATTGGAAGTGCGGTATTTGCTGGCACAAACGAGGGGCTCTACCGTCTCAGCGCAGATCGGTGGGAGCAGATGCCGGTTGAAACCTTCAAAACTACCCGATCCTTTGAAACGGAGGCGTTTGCTGACGCAGACAGCGGGTTCTATCGTCTCAACGCAGAGCGGTGGGAAAAGGTACCGGTGCAATTCTCCAATGCTATCCATTTCCTGAAAGTCTTTGAAAACAATCTCTATGTTGGCGTCGGTTCGGATCTGTCTATGTGGCGCTCACCTGAAACGAAAAGAGGGATAATAGTAAATCCAAAAGCACTCAGAGGGGCGATTTTCCACTCAGCCGACTTGGGTAAATCGTGGACAGAGATAACACCTAAAAATGAGCCTCTCTTTTTTACGGCAGGCACGGGTATGGAGTTTTGGGCCTGCTGGCGAGACGCTCGTCTTAAACGGTTCTGAGCAATTTCGGTCAACGGATGCGGGAAAAACTTGGACAAAACTTGGCGTTAACACGCGTTCCTTGACAGGTCTTAATTCACGACATATAGGTGTGAACGGAAGGATTTTTTATGCAGTTGGAACGAACGGGATTTATCGAACAATTGATGCCGGTGAATCGTGGCACCCATTTATGGATGGGATCATAGGGACGAGGATAGGAAGTTTGGTACCATTCAACAATCGACTCTATGCGTATACCTACGGTGACATTGTCCAATCAACCGATGCGGGTGAATCGTGGAAAAGCGTTCAGATGGATTCCAAATCGACAGGGGAAAAGCAGTCTCCCGTTAATTTCTCTTCTAATTCAAACTTGGTAGTCGCAGACGGAGCTCTTTATGGGATTGCGTCTGAAAAAAGAGAATCTGCGTATTTACCGCTTATCTACGGATGCCAATGTCTTCGTTCCAGTTCAAGGAATACCCGATTTTCATGCAGAGATGCTGTCCGCCGAATTGTGGAAATCTATTACGGAAGCCAAATATATCTCTTTCTTTGATGGTGTGGAGATGGATTCTCGGTTGATAAACGCATTGCATAGGGCTGCAACCCATACAA